TTCAAAAGACATTTACGATATAGTGAAAAATGTAGAGTGACGATTTTCATGCAAATATGTCCAGTTGAATAAGCTCGCAAATAAACTGTTCGGATAAAATTAAACTCAGTTGACTACACCAAACAAATCTGTGTATTATAAGATATTTTTGACAATTAATTTTCTTTGTAATACTGATGAAATGAATCAAGTGTTTTTCTCTGTATGCAGGACATTTCATCACTAAATTTAGTAGAAACTGAACTACATATCTCGTCTATCTCGCTTAATATTCAATAAAATGTTCGGAAAATTTTGCTATGTACTACAAGAATAGAACATAGTAAAATGTACTACTGAAAATTTGTTTAGATTCACTTCTAATTTTTTGTGTCAATTGTACCAAAAAGTTGCAATTCACTCATATATATATGCATAATCGAAGATGATTTATTTTTCAAAATTAATATAAATTATACAAAAAATTTTTGAATTAAGAGAATATTTGAAGAGATTTTATATGAATTTCGCTGAAATTCTACTAAACATAAATTTTTGTAGAGATTGAATAGCTTATGATTGATTATCAATGACTCTATTGAATTTCTCTTAAATGAAACAGAAGAGATAGTACATATTTTTGAACGAATTTCTGTTCGATCGACAAATATGTCATAGTCAAAAGAGTTGCTCGAAGACGATTTTTTTGTTGTAAAAGGTAAGGTATATAAAATCTGTGAGAAGAAGGTTTCTTGTGCGAGTAATAGATATGTAAATGATGTCCTCCTACAACAAAAGCTTTTCCTTCATTGGACAATTATGGCATCGTTAGATTTCCAATAGGTATTGTTTTCAATAAATTATATCAGATCAACGCTAAGACGAGTTATACGTATCATATCTGTTTTGATGGATATTAACTTTTCTTTTTTTCTTATATAACTGCCAATATATGATTATGTAAATATGTATAATTACATACTTAGAAGAATTCAACTATTAATAATTGTTACTTATCTAATTGAAATCATCTAGAAAATATTTTGTTATTTAAATTTAATATAACTATGATTTCATTATCTATTTTAGATAATTGTAAAACATGTTTCCTGCTAAATCTCCAAATGAAGATAAAAAAGCTGTTGATAAAGAAAAAAAACATGAAAAAGAAGAAAATACAAGAGCAACAACACAATCAACAAATGATGATAGTAGCAATCAATCAACCAAAACCAAAAAAAGAACAACAACAACAGATAATGATAATGAAATTTATGTAAGTATGATAGGTTATCTCGAATATTTCAAATAAATTAATTTCTACTACAACATATACATACAAAATATTAAATTAAACGAAATTTTAATTTTTCATATTCTTTGTTGATTCAACGAATATTCATTATATACTATTTAGTTTTTCTAAATATAATATCATATAAAAAGAAATAAATTAATTATTGTTATTTATTACTATTATTTAAAATTTTAATACAATGATTTTATTCTCTATTTATAATAATAATGTTATTATAACGAAAATCTTTTTTATTTTTTCTTTCTTTTAGCCACCAGCGAAATGTTTGAAACAAATCGATGATTCTAATATACATCAAACGGAAGAAACAAAACATGATTTAACTAATGATGAAGAATCAGAAGGTAAAGCTTTTTGTTTTTTTCTTTGATGAAAAATTAAAACAGAAAAAGAAAACAAAGAAGTTTCTCATAAGAAAATATACATATGAAAACAAAAATGTTTTTAGATTAAGTATAAGTTATTATTAAATAAGTGTAAGCATTGAATTCTATTTCAAATTTAAATTTAAGTTTCACAATCAGATGCTTATTGAATAGATTTGTAAAAATCTATGTTCTAAGATAGTGAATGAAAAAATTCTTTTATATTAATCTATGATATTCATATTAACATTTTTCATATTAGAAAAAATCATATTTTATATTAATTTTAATATAAAGTTCTACAAAATTAAATACTCTATATTTATAAACAATAGATAAGAAAATAAAAACTAGATTTT